GAAGAAATAATAAAATTAATATATGGGATACTATTACAGGTATTAAAGTTTATGGAAAAGTAAAAAAAATGTTTGGAAGGTACGGAAGGGAAAATATGTAATTTTTTTGCGGTGTGTATCCAATTTCCAATTGGGTAGTGTTCCTATTACTTCCTGTTCTGTAGCTGCAATGGGAAGTGAGAGAAAGTCTCCCCAAAGTGTGAGCACTTCCTCTTTTGGACTTTTTTTTTCCTTTACATGCACTACCTCAGATCAGAGTGGCAATGGGTATTGTAGAGCCAAGCAAAGTCCTAGGTTCCTCCTTGACTCTGATATGTCATATGACAGGGGAGACCTGGGAGGACTTCCCTCACTCTGCTGAGCAACAGTACATCCGAGGTCTGTGAATACATTTCAGGAAGGGAGAGAGAGGGTACTTGGGGGGTATTTAAGTTTAGAGGGGTAGATATTTGTACTGGAAAGAGGGTATTTTTAAATTGTGGGGAGGAGTCACTCTTGACTTCTGTACTATGTTTTATATACTACTGACCCCGCACTGTGAGTTATACTTACTGCTGACCCGCTCACTCCCTGCGTGCCGCAGTACACGCTCCTGACCCACCCGCGCGCCGCAGTACACGCTCCTGACCCACCCGCGCGCCTCAGCACACGCTCCTGACCCACCCGCACGTTGCAGTACACGCTCCTGACCACCCCGCACGTTGCAGTACACGCTCCTGGACCCCCCCTCACTCTTCAGTACACGCTCCTGACCACCCCGCACGCTACAGTACATGCTCCTGACCACCCCGCATGCTACAGTACACGCTCCTGACCCCTCGCACGCTACAGTACACGCTCCTGACCACCCCACATGCTACAGTACACGCTCCTGACCCCCGCACGCAAGCTAAAAAGGTAACAGTGATGTGCAGACCAAGCTGTCCAGCAAAAATGACAAGGGTGGCTGCTTCCACACGAAGCTGCAAATATTCTCAACTATTACACAGAGGAAAGGATGATGCGTCTGCTCCAAGTTGTGAAACATGTCTTTAAATAAACATCAGACTTGCTCAATAATGTAGACAGCAAAACAATATACCAAGTGAGGTCACTGACATGAACCCATATTTTCCTAATCCTCTTCAGTGAGCGAAAGTCTAGGTAAAGCTGAACTCCAGACAGATATTAGTGCATTTCTCTAATAAATAATACATTGTTAATTGTATTGCAGTGTAAGTACCTGAATCTGACCTGGTATCGGCCTTTTGCAGTCCTTATACAACAGGACTGGGGTGTGAGAGGAAGAAGCAGAGCAAGCAGCCCATCAGTCCATGTGCTGACAAGGAGCAGGCCGATAGGTGGATATAGCAAAGTGACAGGGAGATGACGCATCATTGTGCCGCTTCTCCTTTTACTGTCCAGTTATGGGCTGGGGAGGGTCAAGGATGACCTGAGCTCAGAGGAAGTGGGTTGACTGATGCTGGCCACCAGACATCAGTCACTGGCAGGATCACAAAGTGAAAATAAAGAAAACTAATGCAGCCACCACATCTAAGCACCAGGGAGCTGCTATATATTACATTTGATGTTCTTGGGTTTAAATACCCTTTAGTATTCAAGGTAAGGTCTTCCTAATGCATTGTATGGAGGGGAATGATGTCTCTCTCCGGAGTCTGTGGCCTTGTTTTATACATGAAAAGAATGTTGCTCTCTCTTGAAGCTGCAGATTGGCATTGCACACTGTTATCATTGTTTTATGACTAAGCCTGCATAGTACAAATGACACATCATTGTAGATTAAAAGGTTCTGTTAAACACAGCTTATTATTTATTATATGTAATCGCTGCCTATACCTGTTGCAGCCTGTCCTATTCAGGGAAGCCCATGATGACGCACGCGGCCTGAAGGCAAAGGAATAATGGGGTTGTCGGGACAGTCTGTGCTTGGTACCCTCTAGTACAGATGAAGCCTGCAGCTCCCATGTCTTGATGATACATATTCTGTCTCCTGTCCAGGAGGCTGACGTGAATTCCCAGATTCCACTGAACCCACATGGCCGGCATCTGTATGTGGCGCTCCCTTTCCGGAGGTCTAAAGATGATCGCAGCTAGGTGGACATGTGGGTAGCTGCTGACCACACATTGAGCCAAGCACCACAAAAACATATTGCTGAGCTACAGTATCTTTTGCCCCAATTTCCGCTCTGTTGGTCAGACGTTCAGGTTTTTTTTTGTCACTGTGCCCGTTTGTAGACCTATGCAAAATCTTTACTGTAATAGAACTGCAAGGAAATGACCAAAGAACACTAACTAAAAACAGAGAGGAAGATTTAGAAGATAGGCAAATGACGGGGACAGGAACTGCTACAGCTTTATGCCACATAAGCAGAGACTGACTTAACTGCAGAAATGTGATTTTATTCAGCCAGTTGTCTACGCCAGATGTCCCTAGCAGGTTTTGACCTGTTTTCTATTATAGGTAAAGCATTGCAGCTTGGTTAAGGACTGCCCCCAAGTCTGTGATTGGATAGTGAAGGAGCAGCAAAACATTGAAAAGGTCAATGCTGTGTTCTCTCTTATTAGCCA